ACCTACGCACTAAAGCTTGATTACACGGTAACCACATTTACAAAGCGACAACTGCTGTCTGACGTGGCTAAGCTGTTCGACCCACTTGGGTTCCTGGCGCCTGTAATTATTCCTGGAAAAATGTTTATTCAAAAATTGTGGTTAACAGGCCTAGATTGGAATGACAATCTGCCGGAAGACTTGCAGACGAAATGGATATCTTTTCGCAACGAGCTTAAGACAGTTCCAGAAGTACGCATATCACGCTGGCTTAATACATCCCAGCAAAATGAAACCTATGAGCTCCATACCTTTGCAGATGCATCTACGCACGCATACGCCGCTGTAGTGTACTTAAAGGTTGTCGCTAAATCATCCGTCCACATTCACCTATTGATGTCGAAGACACGAGTGGCACCATTAAAGAAAGTTACAGTACCACGGCTCGAGCTATGTGCAGCCTTACTTGCTGCTCGTCTGATGAATAAGGTAAGAGATACGCTTAACCTATCCTCTATATCTACTTATATGTGGTCAGACTCTACGACTACAATATGGTGGATACGATCCGATCCAGGAGCGCTAAAAGAGTTCATGTCGAATCGTGTTAGCCAGATACAAGAGGTGACTACTGTAAGCGACTGGCGTTATGTTAACACGGCCGACAATCCTGCTGATTGTGCCTCACGAGGACTGACCATGGCGCAGCTTGTAGATCATCACCTATGGTGGCATGGGCCCTCCTGGCTTAGCCAACCAGAAACCAGCTGGCCACACCCTTTGCTAAAGGTACCAGAAAAGCTCTCCGAATCCAAACCTGTGCAAGCTACAACGGCACGCATCATTCCTTCTGATTGGTTCATCCTGGAAAAATATTCGACGCTTGAAAGACTTTTAGTAATCACTGCTTGGTGTCTCCGATTCATACGGGCCTCGCGAGGTATGGCCCATGACACTGGCATGATGTGTTTGTGGAGCGAGCGCGAGGCTGCCATGAAATTTTGGATCAAGCGCATACAAGCTATCATGTTCAAGAGCGACATCGCAGCTCTCAATGATACTAAAGCAGTCAACAAGAGGAGCAAACTGTTGAAGCTAAATCCCATGTTAGACAAAAATGGGATGTTGTGCGTCGGCGGTCGCTTAAGGAACGCAAATATTCCATTCTCAGAGCGACACCCTGTCATCCTACCAAAGGATAATCATCTCACCATGTTGTTCATTAGACAAGCTCACCAGCGCACCCTTGATGGTGGCACCCAAGCCACACTCCAGTACGTTCGTCAGCGGTTTTGGATTATCGACGGACGGCAAGCTGTTAAGCGAATAGCGAGTAATTGTGTAAGGTGCTTCCGCTACAAATGTTCGCCTCAGACGCAACTAATGGGCGATCTTCCCTCTGCCCGCTGCAATGCATCACCGCCGTTCATGCACAGCGGCGTGGATTTTGCGGGCCCCTTCAACATAAGAACAACCAAAGGTCGAGGCCACCGTAGCTACAAAGGCTACGTGGCGCTCTTTGTCTGCTTGGCCACAAGAGCAGTACATCTCGAGCTCGTCAGCGATATGACAACGGAAGCGTTTCTTGCAGCGCTGACACGATACGTATCGGTACGTGGACTTGGCTCTGATTTATATAGTGACCATGGGACAACATTCATTGGAGCCAATGCTCTAGTTCAAGAAGAGATACGTGCGTTCAAAGCTCAGCTACGAGCTGCCACTAGTTACGGCTCTACAATCGGCCTGACATGGCACTTCATACCCCCCGGTGCTCCAAATTTTGGCGGTATCTGGGAGGCAGGCGTCAAGAGTATGAAACACCACCTTCGGCGGATAATTCATACTACGACCTTAACATTTGAAGAATTTTATATTTTATTTTTTTTTTATTTTATGGTCGTATAACCGATGCTCACGCTGGAGAAGACGGATTAGTTCGTGTGGTTACTATAAGAACGCAAACCAGTCTTATCAAAAGACCTCTATCAAAGATCTCGGTTCTACGCATCGAGATTGACCCGATGGATTCACAGGAAGGAACCACTCAGGCCGCGCTCAAGACGGTGGGCGGCGCACTATAATAATTTCGCCGACAAATCCGACGAAGGTGGGCGGAATGTTCGAAGTCCGAGAAAATGCGACCCTGCTCGGTTAGTTTTACCATCCCTGGCTTCATCTGACGTAAGAAACATATGCTTTGCAGCTAATCTAGCTATGTATACATATTGTTTACTTTGTATTAGCAAGAATTCTTTCAATAAATCTAAATCAGATATAGTCTTCGGCTTAGTGTTTATTTTTTGAAAACCGACAAACTTTTTACAGCCTTACTCAGGTCAATTGCCAGCATGGCAACATATTTCTTTTTTCCAGATTTTCGTATATAAATTCTGTACAGTTAATACATGCTGATAA